AAAAAAAACCCTTGAATTTACAATGTCTTAGCCTTGGAAGAAAGCTTTTCCTTTTTTTAATGTTAAATGTGATGGCTACCTGGCTATATAGGCACTTTTACTTTTCTCTTTTTCTTTCCTTTTTAAATTTTTTTGCTTATGTGCCCATAGAATATTCTTTAATCGATTTCAACAGCATGATACATTACGTTTTTCATGTATAAGACGCACTGTACCTCATTCCTGTGTACTCTGCATGCACAGAGCTCACTGGGAGGTCTTGTGCCATGAGTATTTGAATAAAGATGGTAATAAAAAAGAAGGCATTTTTTCAATATTTTCTTTTTGTTTTAATGAAAGGCCAAATACTGTACATGCCAATAATGATTTTAAATAATCGCTATACTAAAGTTATGCCTAGTATCTTTCTACAATTGATGTAGAAAATGGAGAGCATACACTCTTGAATAACATTCTTAGYTTTTAATATTTTTCTTCATTTTAGCTTCAGTTTTTTCATGTGAACAGCTATATTAAAAAATTAAGACCTTTGCTAAGATTGTGTGATTGTTACTTTGAGATCATTCAGGTCAATCTCACTTTTGGTTTTTAATTACTAATATTGTAATAGGTATTTCTGGCTACCCAATCACTTATTCCTTGCTTTGGAGGCTATAATTTTAAAAGTATAGTTAATATTAATAATCTCTTGTCAAAACCTCTTGACTGAATGTRAAGTGCATTCCTTGATAAGAACTTTCYATTAAAATCTAAATRTAATTTTTAAAAGATTAAAATACATAATGAAGAAAATCTTAGACTTTCTGGAAAGTTTTCATAAAAGTGTATTTAAGTATCATCTTTTATTAATATGCAGAAAAGTTCACTGTTAATATTTAATTTTGAGTAGAACCTTGTAAYGAGTTGCAGAGCACAGTTGGTTGAACTCCTTTTTCTCCTTTTTGGAGCATTAGAAAAGGTGAGAGCATGCCCAGAATAGATGGTGTGAAAATTGCAGTATTGAAAAAGCAAAGCTCAGAGAGCATTTTATTATAGTATTGTTCTGTGGCAGGATTAAGTGACTGGCTGCACTTGGGAGCTTAAGGATTGGGGAGAATTGCTTTCCAGCAGAAGCRTATAAAGGAGGATGCAGTCCTAGGTATAAATTACAAAGGAAGAAAAGGACAAATACATTGGCTGCTTTTAGCAGCAGTGTTTGCTCAGATCATATGTGAAATGAGGGCCTTCCTTTGGCTCTACTATTTGAATTTGGTTTTTTTTTTTTTTTAACTATACATAACATTTCAGGAGATCACTAGATAACTCCATTTGAGTTTCTTCTGGAGTCAAAATAATATTGGATGGTTAAGGATCACTGTAAGCAGGAGCAGTTTTGTTTAAAAACAAAAAATACACTTTAAACTGATAGTTACTGAGTTGAAGATACTTTTGCTGAAACTTTTTGTGGTACAAAGTGTCTGGTTATGAGCTCTTGTTCCCTTCTATAAGCTGAATGCAGTGTAAGCACAGAATGCTTAGCAGATCTCTTGAAACAGATAAAAGGTAATTCRGGTAAAAGCTGACTTGCCTACCAAAAAGAAGCTTCTGAACATGAGTTACAGGGTGCCTCTCAAATGACTTCCWGGAACGCAGAACTGTTTCCATTTGTGTTTTGTTTGCCAAGAGAAGAAATAAAAAAATTAAGACAGTAAAACTTTTATTTTCTTACTCTCTCCAGCTCTGAACGCTAAGAACAAAAAGAAAGAGACAATAGAAAAATTAACTTCAGAGGTACGGAAGTTCAGTGAGGAGATGGTAGGATGTGACATTGAAAATAGACATAAAAGAATGAGGGACTGTGAAAGTTTCAAAAAAAATTCTGGGTGTGTTGTATTGGTCACACAAAAAGAARTGTGTACAGTAGGTAAGAGATGGGCAATACTAAAAGATCAGAGATGATCAGCCAGGCTACATCAGAATGCTGTGTCAAATGTTGTGGGTGGGTARAGGCTCTTTTTAGTATTCAGTAATGCAAAAGGAGTAGAGGAGTTTAGGAGTCAACAGAACTACTGAGTGTTTAATGATAAAATAGAGGTTATGATGTGAACAAATGAGGGTGACTGAGCGAGAAAAATGACATGAGTGGTGTTGAAATAGASAACTCTGCATTTTAATCCAAATTAAAAATAGCTTTATGTACTTTGTATGAACTGCTTGTTATATTAATCCAACACAGAGTAAAGTTGGTGGGTCCTAAGTAAGATCAGTTAAATTTGTCTTGGAGTCCTTTTGCTATCTCCATAAAAATGAACTAAAATTTTACARCTCCTAAATTCATGAGGTCATTTGGCCAGTGGCTATCTCCAGACAAGAACCCTGTGCCACAGTTCCACAGGAAATCAGTTTTAAAATACAGACGCTGCTAAGAATAGCGTCCAAATGAAAATATTCMCGATGAGCCCAAAGTAATTTTATGGACATTACTGTCCATAAAATAATCCAAAATTGATTACTTTCACACCTTACAAGTTCACTTGTGTTATTAAAAGTCATATAATAAATGCACTCAGTTGGCTTCTGCAGCTATTATTGTGCYGCCAGAAGCAATGTGATCATGTGATACTTTCTTTAATACATAAAAAAATACTGAGTGCAGAGGACTTGATATRTTTAATATGGTGGCAGTTGATAGTTACAATTGTATTTAGATTTGTTCATACAAGTATGGCCTCTGTGAGTATGGCCAAGGTAAATATTTGCAATGTTTCACATTTGAAGCTCTTCTGTGGATTGCAGAAGTATTTAATGAAATTGCAAGTTTATAAATGAAATGGAAAATTGGGGATTTTAAGGTTGTTTCTGTTCCAGGAAGTGGAACACACCCAAAGAGTGTGATTTATCCTGAGCTGCTTTATTTCTCTCTTYTTCCCCAGAGTCCACTCAACACTCCTGTGCAGTGTGAGTGGGGACACTGGGTAGGGTCTCTTCTTTGATAAAATTTGTTCCTGACACATGCTTTATGAAGTTCAAAGCAAAACATATTACCTAAATTCTGGCCCGAAGTTCATGTATGCACCGGGGAAATCTGTTGATGCCTKTGGATTGTTTTTGCAGAATGATCGAAAAAGACATTTTCAAATAAAGGTAGTTTTCTGTGAATACATAGGTGARTTCTCTTTCTTGGATTTTAAGCTTTTTGGTTTTTTTATAACTTTCATAAAATCTCTTCAGATTGTGGTACAAAGTAGACA